TGCAGCCACCTTTCTTCAGTGTCGATTATCCCGTGGAAGAGGTAAGATGTGCTCCTCTCCTCTCCTCTCCTCTCCTCTCCTCTCCTCTCCTCTCCTCTCTCCGCGCACTCCCTGCGCCGTCTCGTCTCCATCTCTTTCCCCGCCTTCTTAGAACGACCTCTTCATCTACAACAAGAGCAGACATCAAATGAAGTTCATTCCTCCCGCTAACTGTTTTGGTAGAACTTTGGAGCCATCGGAGCAATCATGGCGCATGAGGTGGGTCTTATTTCTCCTCCCTTCCATCTCCATGCCTCCTCTCTTCTCCGCTTCTCTTCTCGTCCCGTCCTCTCTTCTCCCTTCGCACAAACCTTGTGCCTGTCTTCTCTTCCCCTGTACTGTCTCCCCTCTCCCGTGTTCACGTATTCTTCCTCTCCTCTCCTCTTCTCTCCTTTCCTCTGCTCTCCTCTGCTCTCCTCGACTCGACTCGACCGCCTGACCATGTTCAAAGATCACGCACGGGTTTGACAACCACGGCGCGAAGTTCAACGAGGACCGGAAGATGCAGGACTGGTGGTCGGAGGACGTGCAGACTGAGTTCAACAAGCGAACCGAGTGCATCAAGACCTTGTATAGCGGCTTTGAGATCGCCGGCGTTACTGTGAGTTCTCTTCCTCATCCTTCTCATCTTCCCTCCTCTCCCTCCTCGCCCTCCCCTCCCCTTCATCTTCTTCTTCCCCTTCCCTCGCTTTTGTTGCCCTTGGATCCGCCTCACCTGCTTTCAGATTGCTGGCGACAGCACGTTGGGGGAGAACATCGCAGACTTCGGAGGTCTCAAGGTAGGCGAGGAGGAGGCGGGAGGGGAGGGGAGGAGGGGAGGAGGGGAGGAGGGGGGGGGGAGGGGGGGAGGGGGGGAGGAGGGGAGGGGAGGGGAGGGAAAAGGAAGGAAACCATTTGGAAAAGGAGCGGGGATGTAAACGATTGAGAAGGGAGGTGCGGTGTGATTGAGGTTGAGGGATGTGGAGGGAGATGAAGAATTGAAGGAGAGGACGAGGAAGGGGAAGGGGAAGGGGAAGAGGAAGAGGACGAGTACTAACGGGATGGCGCAGATCGCGTACGAGGCGTACCTCGAGTGGTACAACGAGACACTGTTCAGCACGTTCAAACGTCCTCCTCCCATCCTCTCCCGCCAGCTCTTCTTCGTGTCCTACGGGCAGAACTGGTGCGACAAGGAGAGGATGAAGGCGCAGCAGTACTCTACCTCAAACGACGAGCACTCGCCGAACCCTTTCAGGTTATGAGGAGAGGAGGGAGGAGCGGAGAGGATAGGAGAAAGGATGGGGGCCAATGGGATGGGGTCGCGGGAAGCCGATAGGGAGAGAGGTTGTGTAAGTGGCGGCGGCGGCGGCGGCGGCGGCGGAGGAGGAGGAGGAGGAGGAGGAGGAGGAGGAGGAGGAGGAGGAGGAGGAGGAGGAGGAGGAGGAGGGAGTGGAGGAGGGAGGTGGTAGTGGTGGAGGTGGGAGTAGCAGCAGCAGCAGCAGCAGCCAGTCGCTTCTATCCTCTCATCTTCTGTGCAGGACCAACGGGGTTGTCTCTCAAAACCCTGACTTCGCCGACACTTTCAGCTGCCCACAAGGAAGCCCCATGAATCCCGTACACAAATGTGTGATGTGGTCGCAGTACGCCGGGTATGTTCATCCCTACTCTTCCATCGCCCCTGCCTCTCGTTCCCGCCCATTTTCCTTCCTCTTCTTCCGTATTCCTCCTCTGGCCCCCTCCTTTCCGCTCTTTTCCTCTTCTCCCGCCTTCCTCCTCCCCTCCCTCCTCCAACTGTCATTGCTATTTCTATCCTCACATCCTGCCTGCAGAGGTCAGATCCTCGCCACGAAGCCCAAGGTGGAGCAAGGAAGCAGGAGGAAGTGGAGGGCGGAGAGGCTGCCTGCGGGGAGGAAGAAGCAACTGATGGAGCGGAGGTAGGAGGGTTGACTTTTCTGTTCTTGTTCGCTTGCTGACTTGCAACGCAGGTTGTGAAGACAGGACCACCGACACGGACTTGCTTCCTGTACATACTCATAGATGCTGGTCCTGCCTGTTTCTGGATCGTTTTCCTAGCATCTCAGTTTTCTTTTCTTTGCCTGTATTGTAAGATTCTCCTCCCTCTCCTTCTCGATAATTTAGAGCTCATGCCCACGTGCTTGGCTGTATCTTGCAGTCTGTCCCGAATAAACAAGTCAACCCGTCCTGCAGCGTCCCGTCAGTGACCGTCCCCTCCCTTGCCGCCTCCGCTGCTCTCGTCTGCCTCTACCCCGCTCTCCTTTCCTCTCTCGTCTGATACCTGACATAGCGGGAGGATTACGCAGAGGTTGTTCTGCTCCATCGATTCGCTCACAGGGTTATAAATTTTCTCCTGTCCCACACGCTCAGTCACTTCACGTGTCTCCTCCTCCTCCTCCTCTTCCTTCTCCTCCCCCTTTCCTCCTCCTTCCTCCTCGCCTTCCTTCCACCACCACCCACACCACCACCACCACCTCCTACCTGCACAGGCAACGACGCCACGTACTCGAGCGGCGCCTTCACCTCCTTCATCTTTCTCAGCCCCGAGCTCTGCGGCACCACGAGCTGGACCAGCTGCCCTGCCATCGTTCGCTTCATCGTCAGCACCAGCTGCTGCATGCTGCTGATCCACGTCGCCCGATCGATCCACGGATGCGCCCCCGTCCCCACGCACTGCGGCATCGAGCAGTATAGCCTCCCGTTCCCGTCATACGCGCAGAGGCCCGACAGGCCCGGGCCGCAAGGCTGGCTGGGGCGGTTGAGGGCAGGATCACAGAAAGCGTAGAGGGAGACAGGGGTAGTCGAAGCACAGCCCTCAGAGACCTGCAGTCCCTTCAGCTCCTCCTGCCCGTTCCCCTGGCCCCTCGACTCACCAGCCCTGACCATGAAGAGCCCGCGAAGTCAGGGAGAGAGATGGTGACGTTCTCTCCTCCTGCAATCGTCCGACGCGGCACAAACGACAAGCTGATCTGAACATTATCCTGCCCCTGCATGATTGTCACGCGGAGATCAGTGGGCACAATCCTGCACCTTCCCCTGACCTCTCACACCCATGTATCATCGCCTCCCTGACTAGAGCTCTGCCTCCCTCCTCTTCCATGCTTCGTCTCTCATCCTCACCGTATTGATCTTGTACGAGAGCTGAACGGGGGCCACAAGCTCGGGGTTGGTGAGGTGAATGTCGAGGGGAGTGAGGAGGAAATTGCGCGAGACCTGACTCATGTCTTCTCCCCATCGGACAGCATAGCTGACTCCCAGGCGTAGCAAATGCCCGGGCGTCAGGCTGGTCGGGCTGTAGCCTGCCAAGAGCCTCAGCGGAATGGACAGGTGGTGATGGGAGGGGCCACCAGGAAGGTTGGGGTTGGCATGGTACAAGGTCAGCCAGTCCTTCTGGAAGACAGCAGCGATCTTCTCCTGTTGAAGCTCGTCAGACAAGGAGGAGAGCGACGGACGACGGTGTTACCAGTGAGTCTCCAGGCTGGACGTAATGACGGCACTTGTCGATCTGAAGTCATCGAGAGGGTCAGGAGACGGCAGCATGGGAGCACAAGGCTGACCAGGATGCCAACGCATAGCAAGAGGGTCTGACCATTCGAAGCGACCGCAGTCTTGCTCAGGGAGGCCCTGAAACACATACGGACCGGAGCAGCAGACCTTATTGGTGGGGTCATAATCAAGCAGGCGAGAAACTTTCTAACCTGTCCAATGCCGATGGAGTCCAGGAGAATCTCCACACTTGTGGGCGGTCAAGAGGAGAAGAACTTTCAAGGGCCTTGCAGAGACGATCAGAAGAAGAGGAATGAGTAGGAGTACAAACGCACCCATGAACTGCTCTGAGGTAGACCAGAGCTAACAACCATCCACTTTAGAATTTTTCAAGCTCAAAGTACAGGGTGCATACCTTGTCATCGGACTGCTCATTCCAGGGACAACAGTCAGCAAAGGAAGTGGTCCTGGTGCGCAATATTGCAAACACTTGCAATCTCCAGTGCAGTTCTCTTGACAAGCACAGGCCGATCCCTGCTCAATCACCGAGCACTGAGACTGGTTGACAATGTAGTCGCAACTTCGCGTGCCCACGTGTCAGATCAGGAGCAGCCAAGTGCAAGCAACTCACCCTCCTATCACCGACGTGTTCACCGCAAACCTCAGGTTGATCGCCTGGCCCGCATACGCCGTTGCAACCGAACCATTCGACGGAGTTGGGTCCACAAGGAGAGGAACGAAGCCTTTGATCTTGACAGTAGCGCATGTCTCGATAGGATTGTACAGGGAGGTGTTGTAGTTCGGGATAGTCGTCTCCGAGCACACATAGTAAACCTGCCCCGGAACATACTTGCTCCCGTCCATCATCAGCCAGCCGTTGATGAATTGGGAGAACTCAGGCTGGCCTGTCCTTTCTGTGATGGCAAACTGAAGGCTGTTAGAGAAGCTGCTGAGGACAAGCACCGAGTACAGGCGGATAATCAGAACACCTCCCTGTGGGAGATCGAACTCATGGTTGTTCGGATACTGCAGGTCCTGCCCTACAGTGCCAATCACTGGGGCTGCGTATTCGCTGCAGTTCTGGTGCATGTAGTTGTAGATTTCACCAGGACTTGAGCACAGCTGAATAGCCGCGCTGTTTGTTATGTACAGTAATGCAAGTATTGATACAAGTAGCTTCATGCTGCAAGAGCTCTGAGAACGCTCAGGTTAATCTGAAACAGTGCTGTTCCGTTACAAAGAGACTCTGATGTGCTAGTATCAGGTTATCAGGGGCCTCGGGCTGTGAGAGGTCTCCTCTTCCCTGTCGTCGGATCTTCTTCTTCACTCCAACTGCAAGCTGATAGCCTGTCTTTGAAAACTTTGCATTGATATCTCGTGATATCTCTCCTAAACAAAATTCCTGGCGGCGATCCTTTGGAGTCCAGACACAGACAGTCCTCAAGAGGAAGAGACCTGCCTATGATCCTCTGTCCTTGTTCTTCCCTCCGCACCCTCCTCCTCTCTGTGTCTCTCCCTCTCCCTCTCTTCTCCCTCCTCCTTCCCTGTTATGGCGCCGTCGTATACGCAGCCATGGCAGCTGCGACTGAAGAGGCGTGAGGGTTGAGCGGGGATGTGGATTACCAAAATTGGGTATGAGGGGGATGCAAAATCTGGGAATGTGCGGGGATGTGGACATCACATTGGGCGAAAGGGGCAGAGAGGGGAGTAGGGCAGCACTGTAGTATGTGGGACATGGGGGATGAGGGGTCCATGAAACAAAACCACCCCACCCCACCTCCTGGATCTGAACCTGATGACCACCCCCCTCATATCCTCCCACCCTCTTGGGTGTCAGCACAGAATTTCTTATCACTACGATGCTGACAGTAGTAAACTGGTAAATATGCTTTTTTCTTCAAACAATGTTTTTAAAGATCGGCGTGCCTAGTGGGAGAAAAGAGTGTAAATAATCATAAGGAGGGGTGGGGTAGATAGATTAAAAACACTCGTGACCCGGGGGTCATTGAAAACATTTTCAAAGTATATGGTGGGGGTACTTGATCTATGCCGATGGATTTGCTCAATATTTCAGGTACAAACTCATATCCTCTCAAAACTACCCTACCACTGCTGTTCTTCGAGACCTACCCTACATACCTGAGGTCAGCAATCATATAAGTAATATATAAAATCATCATTGAGTCGAAAACCATGGCGCTTCGCTGATTCATAAAATAACTTTTAGTGTTTCGACCATCTTCCCCTTATACCCCACCCCCACACCCCCTCCCCACTGCGCGATTACTGCTCTCCAAATTCCTCCAAGTACCCCTCCAATTTGAAGTACCCCACATATTATGTCTCGGCAATACCACAACCCCACCATCTAGACTAGTGATCTCGAGATTCACGTCTAAAAGAGATGACCCCTACCAGTCGACCCATTCCCCCTATGATACTCTACCTCACCCTACCCAGAGGGCCAATTTTAAACCTCTTACAATACCCTACCCCCTTTGATCCCAATTTCACCCCCACCCCCAAGTCAAAATGACCAGTTCCTCTACCCCCGTCACTTTCACATGTACCTGAAAGTAACTGCGAGTACCCCTCGAGGTCCTGGTTATGACCCCCGTTCCGACAACAAGACAGGGTTCTCGGAGGAGGAACACTTGTACCCTACCCCTTTAGCTTAGTTCACCCTACCCCTCTAGCGGTGTCAATTGCACTTGCAAGGACCTTCGATTTAACTGTGCACCCCACCCCCATCACCCTGGTTTTTCTCTTTGACCTCTTTCTACCCTTCAAAGGGGGGTAGTAAGACCCACCCCCACCCCCAGTATGACCGAAAGAAAGTGAGGCGGACTCACTCAACGTGGCCGCGGAGCCGTCGCATGCTTGCGGTTCAAGGTAGCGCCATAAGGCGGCGTGCCTGTGCTTCACCCACCACTCTCCTCCTCTCCCTGTCGAATCTTCCGCACTTCCATTATCTTCATCGCGTGTTCATCCCTGATCGCTGCTTTCTCTGTATGATACTCGCTGGATGGGATGGATGATTTGCTGCCCCCTCCCCCATCCTCATGGATATGTTGCCAGGCAACAATGCTACGTGTTGTGTAGACTTCTCATTCTTGTGCATCCTTTCGAGATGATTCTTCTTGATACGAATTGCCAGGAGGTCCGGGCTTGCGAATCGTACCTTGAAAGGGGTTACCGTTCCTTGGTGTCACATTGTTGGATCCTTGCCATGGATTATCCTCCCACCTGCCGCCCGAAACAAGTTCATGAGAATGATTTTCTTGCATTGGACTTCTTGCCAGTATGCATCGAGATTGTCTCGTATGCACCTCCCTTTCCAAAGAATATTTGGGCAAACTCGAAGCACCTGAACCTGATAGGAGCATCGATCGAAGAGTACAAGAGCTATTCGTATGTCATGTATGCAGATGATGTGGAGAAATCTCTTTGGGAGCATCGGTATCAGGCAGTGCAGGAGAAGTACAGGCATATCCTGGAGAGAAGCTCTATTGAGCATTACAGGGGTGGCAAGAAAACAGCAGTTGAAACTGTGTATACCCCATGCGAAGTAACCATTGGAGGAGGAACTTTCATGTATGTTATGAAAGTGCACTGGCCCATCGATACAGTGAATGAGGTTGGAAATAGTTGTTTGTACATTTCTCTTGATCGTATCCTGACTTCTATTTTCCACAGAACGAGGTTAACACTACGTACATGACATCGTTGTTGGAGTGTTCCCCATATCCTCTGTGCTTCTTCACGACTGATGGTCACCTCATCACCTGCAATCCTGCTGCTAGACAAGTATTCGGGAAGACAATCTGGCTGCAGAGTGATATCTTCGGCATGGGGGAGCGGGAGAGACGGGGGCTCAACGTTGCCGACATGCAATTCTCAGGATCCTTTAGAATCGAACGCACCGAGCGACGTACGGCATATGAGAACATGATGGATGCTCTGACAGCAGACGGTGCGACCTTTGAAGTGGATCTGCCAATGAAGAAGCAGCAGGATGATGGTACCGAGACGGCCTGGTACTGTCGTGTGTTTGCGCAACGCCAGAAAGATCCCGTGACTGGCGAACCAATCATCATGGTCAGCCATCAGGATGTGACGAACTTGAGGAAAGTTGAGGGAGAACTTGGTAGAATGCAAATGACTGAACAGACCAACAAGGCATTGATGAATCAGGACAGTGATGTTGCCGGATCTTTGCTCACTCTCCTCGGGGAGGATTGGAAGTTTCTGGAGAATCAACAGGAAAATATGCAAGATGAGATGGAACTTGAGGAAGCTATGGAGTGGGAATCAAGGACTGCCAGTGGAGTAACTTTGGGTGCAGACAACTGTATCACTCAGAGCCAGAAGCTGAAGGGATTGAGACTTTGTTTGGACAAGGCGGATGATTGGGACTTCGATGTTTTTGAGTTGGAAAAGGAGGCAGACGGCTATCCACTTCAAGTCCTTACTTGGCACGTTTTCCAAAAGCATAACTTGATCGACGAGTTCAATCTGGACAGAATAAAGCTCATCAATTTTTTGAGACAGGTAATGGAATTGTCGTACCATCCTGCTTGTCTCCTTATCGTCTGCCTGGCAGGTTGAGGCTGGACATATGGAGAATCCCTATCACAATGCAACGCATGTGGCAGATGTCGTCCAATCTATGCACTGTATCTTATCAAAGGTAGGATAGACCGATTACTTGACCTGCAGTCTCTGACAGTGACATGGCAGGGGGGGCTAAGAAAGTTCGTGAGCCGAATGGAAGTACTTGCTGGACTTCTCGCTGCATGCATTCATGATTTTGAGCATCGAGGTCAGTCTTGTGAGTCTCGGATCCTTCTGGGCTGAAGGTTGACTGAAGGATTCAACAACGACTTCTTGATCAAAACTCAAGACGATTGGGCTATTGACTCGAATGACAAGTACGGCAGTGCTTTTGAGCCGGGAGAAGTATTGACTTCGTTACCCTGCAGGAGTCCGAATGAATCTCATCACCTTGCTTCCGCTTGGAAGATTTTGCGAAATCCAGAAGCAAACTTCATTCATCGAATGCCGCATGCTCAGCAGGTACTTCCCGCGTCATCGTTCCTGTTTCCCTCTCCACTGACTTCACCCACTCAGGTTCAGTTGCGCAAGCTTGTAATCGACATGGTACTAGCAACAGACATGGCCGAGCACATGGCGATTGTTTCTCGTTTAAAGACCGACCTTCAGAAGGTTCAGCATCAACACTTGGAAAGTTTCGGTGGAGTTGTAACTTGTTTTCGGCAGAGGCTGGAGAACCCAGACGATGGCATTGAGGGTCCACCGCCGGAGAATCTAAAAACTCTCGTGTTGCAGGTTTTCACTGCCTGCCAATTTTACTTCCAGATCTGATCAGGGGTTTACAGGGTGCGATTAAGATAGCAGACATTGGGCACCTTTACGCGGCTCATCATGTGAAACTTACCCTGGACGAGTGTAAGATCTGAACGGTAGGTGGCAGGTACATGTGAAATGGTCTGAGAGGTTGGAGGAGGAGATGTGGCTGCAGGTCAGTAGCACTTGTTGGGATGCGAGATGCCTGAGTTTGTCTGACAGGGCGATGTGGAGAAAGCAAGGAACATGAAAGTATGCCAGCGCATGTTTGGAAGGTTGTGGCTCCCCTCCTGACAAACTGCAGGTTTCCTTCTTGATGGACAGAGACAAACCTGGAGTCACAAAGTCTCAACCTGGTCTCGCGATCTCTTGCCTGTCGTAGAGCTACTCACCAGTCGCCAGGCTTCGTTGACTTCGTGGTTCGCCCCCTGTTCGAAGTTTGGACTGCCTGCTTCCCAGAGGTTCGATGCAGCTTGACTGTTGCGTCTCAGTTGTACTGACGGCCTCCCGAGCAGTATAGAGTCCTGTTGGATAGGATAGAGACCAACTATCAGTTTTGGAAGTCAAGAGAGACCCGGTCTGGTACGCCCGAGTCAACAAAGTCGCAGGACCAAGCTGAGGCGAACAAGGACTGAGGCGGCTCCTGGCAGCCCCAGCTCCTACTCCATTCAAGAGGAGCCGGGGGGAGCCGCGGAAGTTTTTCGCTGTCTTGGAGGGCTGGGGAAACAGGGCCCCGCGAACGATGTGAATGTGATAATAGTCTTGAAATCCTTTGAATGGAACCCCGCAAGTAGAAACTATGAATTGGGCTTTCCGCTGTCAGAACGACTCTGAGAAGTGGAGGGAGGCGAAAGTCAACTGACGTCCCCTACTCTTCGATCGTCCCCAAGCATACAGCAGTCCGCTTGCCAAGTGTTTCGAGTTGCAGCACGGGTACCGTAGTACGGTCGGACCGGGAGCTCAGAACTGACTCTGTGAGTTGGAGGGTCACGGTTACGACGGTACTTCACCCGCCGGACGAACGTGCTGAGAGCCGCAGTGCTCAGTACCGTACTGAGTACTGAACTGAGTCCGGCCGGCCTGCGAGTCCGGACCGGCCGCCCGGGCCCGGATCCCACCGTAGTGTCGGAAACCAAAAGTTCATGTCTATTTCCCAAATGTTCCTGATCCGAGAACATTTCTTTAGGCTCAACAGGAACTTTTGCAGAGCTAGAGCTTCTTGTGGATTTGAGAGCAATGGCGGGAAGTGTGCGGAAAGGAGGTAAGCATGGGAGGAGGAGGAGGAGGAGCGAGAGATGGAGGAGGGGGAGGAGGAGGTGGTGAGGAGGAGGAGGAGAAGGAAAGAGGTAGGTCGAATAGAAGAACAGAGAGGAGGGGGAGGAGACAAGCAAGCAGGGAAGGAATCACACGAAGGGCAAGGGGAGGCGGGAAAGGGAAGGAGGAGAAAGATTTCGTGGGACGGGAGCGCAGCAAGGAAGGTAGTGATGAAGGAACAAGTGCGTGACAAGTTCCAACGTAGACAGGGTCGGGCACTCTAGACTATCCCGCATGTTGATGACGATCTCATCCAAGGCCGCAGGATTGTCGTAGACAGAGAGTCAGATGTATCCTAGGATGCTGCGGCCATGGATGATGATGACGATTCATGCCGCATACATATCGCATACTCCTCCTCGCACCCCATTCCTCTCCCCTCAGCATTGGAAGCAGACACTTGGCCCTATCTCCCTCACCACATGGCCAACGCTCGTGCTCCATCGAACAGACGGCGCGAGAGCGAACAGAGCTGTTCGTTGTCCTCACGCGTGCGTTGCCCTCTCAGGGAAGCGGTCGCAGCAGGGAGAAGAGGCCAAGGAGGGGGTGGAGGAGGTGGTGGACATCGAAGACATGGCGGACAGGGAAGGTCGGGACGGGAAGGAGCTTGGGGAGGACAAGGTAGGAGAAGCGGGCATGGCGTCAGATCGCATGACGGACGGGGAGCAGGCGAAGGAGATCGCGCAGCTGCTGGTTGAGTGGTACCAGGTGAACAGGAGGGACCTGCCCTGGAGGGATCAGAAGCGCTGGTCACAAGCAGCGTACGCGGTGAGGGGGCGATGGGAGGAAGAAGAGGTCGAGTGCTGACGTGGCGGTGGAGGTGTGGGTGTCGGAGATCATGCTGCAGCAGACGCGGGTGCAGACTGTCATCCAGTACTTCCAGCGATGGATGGAGAGGTGCGGGGGAAAACCTCCCTCCTCCTCGTCCTCGTCCTCGTCCTCGTCCTCGTCCTCGTCCTCCTCCTCCTCCTCCTCCTCCTCCTCTTCCTCCTCCTCCTCCTCCTCTTCCTCCTTCTCCTCCCCCTCCTCCTAGCCGCAACCTTCCTGCCTGCCTCCTCTCTCCTTTCACGTGCTCCCGCTCCCGCTCTTGCTCCTGCCCCTGCCCCTGCCCCTGCCCCTGCCCCTGCCCCTGCCCCTGCCCCTGCCCCTGCCCCTGCCCCTGCCCCTGCCCCTGCCCCTGCCCCTGCTCCTGCTCCTGCTCCTGCTCCTGCTCCTGCTCCTGCTCCTGCTCCTGCTCCTGCTCCTGCTTCCTTCTTCTCAGTCCTCAGCTCTTCATTCCTTCTTGCTCCTACTGCTCTTCACCCTCCTATTCTCCTGCCTTTGCCTCCGCACTTTCAGCTTCTGCCTCCTCTGACTTGATGTCTTTCCTCCGGCTCCTCCTTTCAGGTGGCCGACGGTCGAGGATCTAGCATCCGCGACTGAGGAAGAAGTGAACGAAGTGTGGAGCGGATTGGGATACTACAGGCGCGCGAAATTTCTTCTCTTGGGATCACGAGCAGTGGTGAGGGTTGATGGGGAGAAGGGAGAAGGAGGAGGAGGACGAGCAAATGGGAAGGGAAGGCGGAGAGGTTTGGAGGGCCGTGAAGGAGGGAAGAAGGAAAAAACAATGGAAAGAAGGCAGGAGCAGGAGCAGGAGCAGGAGCAGGAGCAGGAGCAGGAGCAGGAGCAGGAGCAGGAGCAGGAGCAGGAGCAGGAGCAGGAAGGGGGAAGGAAGGGAACAAGAGGAGGGAGAAGGAAGAGGGAGCGGGATGTAAGGAGAAGGACGAGGAAGACGAGGAGGACGAGGAAAGGATAGCCTTATCATCGTGCAGGTTGAGAAGTACGGTGGTGTCCTGCCGCAGAAAGCTGAGGAGCTGAAGAAAATCCCGGGGATCGGCGACTACACGGCAGGAGCCATATCCTCCATCGCCTTCGGTCAGCAGGTGAGAGAGGGGGAGGGAGGGAGGGAGGGAAGGAGGGAGGGAAGGGGAGGGGAAGAGAAGGGAAGGGAGGGAGGAAGGTGAGGGAGGGAGGGAGGGAGGGGAAGGAGTGAATGAGCAAAGGATATTGGAAGCGAGAGAAACAGGAGGATATGAGGAGGATGCAGAAGAATGTCAAGAGGGAGGAAAGAGGAAGAGGAGGTGAAGGAGGAAGTAGAGGAGGAGGGGGAGCAGGAGGAAGTAAAGGAGGAGGTGGTGAAGGAGCCTATGAGGAAGAAGTAGAAGAGGAGGTGGTGAAGGAGGAGGAGGAGGAGGAGGAGGAGGAACAAGATGAAGAGGAGGAGGTGAAGGAGGAGGAAGGAGAGGAGGAGATTAGAGGGAGAGAAATGGCGGAGCGCACGACAAGAAACAAGGAGGAGGCAACACTATGGAATTTGTGTGTGTGTGTGTGTGT